CAAAATTGTAGCAAAGTTGACTGGCGTCAGACTCCATCGGCCCAGCACAGATCGCCCGGCAGGACGTAAAAATAAACATTTGGCACGCCGCCATCGCCGTTCCGAGCCGCGGTAGGCTTCGGGTCTCGCACCAAGTTTTTTCGCTACGCGGTACGCGGGACACGACAGGCCTCCCGAAAGAATACCGCGGGATATCCCGCAATCTCCCGCGTGATATCCCGCAAACTCCCGCGGGATATCCCGCAGTCTCCCGCGTGATATCCCGCAAACTCCCGCGGGATATCCCGCAAAATCCCGAATCCCGATGATGCTTATCCCGCGATCTGTACTGTACATTCTATATTCACAACCACTTGTTTTATTGTCTTCATTAGTTAACATTGGGTCCTGCCCGGTAAATTAACTTTTCTTCCTATTGTCCCAGCAGTGTCCCAAAAATAAATTTCAATTGTCCTAAAATTGAGGATGAACTGTCCCAACCTGTTTTCTGGAAAGTATTGTATGACTTGAAGTCAACTTTATTTTGCTCATGTTCACTCCTAGGGGCACTATAATTGCAGAGTAGACAGGCAATTCGGGGGACTTTTCTGGATCCAACAGCCGGGACGTCTGCTCGATAAACAAAAGAAGGGTTAACATTCTGAATTTCTGATGTTTATTATTTTTCTATTGTCCCAAATATGTCCCAAGGTGTATTTTTAGCTGTCCCAGCCTGAATTTTAGTGGTCAGTGACCATTGGACCACCTTTAATTTTGAGCCCTCAGCTGTTACACAAGTGGTTGTGTATAAAGAATATTACCCACCATGCATGCATTTTTGTAGCCTCGTGGTAAGGCCACACCAATTCAATTTCTGGATTAACGGATTTTTCTGCAAAAATAATGGAGCGGGCAGGCGAAAAAAATAAATAACAAGAGTTCCACGATCTCATACCTTCGCCAAATGATGTTAACCCTTGTGGTTGACAAATTATAAAATTTTAATCATTGATTTTGTAAATAAGAGCCCCATTTGCATGGATTATATCAGTTGATCATATTCTCCACCCAATGACAGCCTTATCTTAACAAAAATGCTATTATAGCACTTCCTCATAAATTATGCAAATGAGGTCATGATTTGAATAAATTATGTTTATCGATGCTCACCTTCACTTAACTTCCAAATGTGGTAAGTATGAAATTCCCAGCAGTTACA